TACCAGAACTGAGGAGTGCATCTCAACTCGTAATATTAATTGACTCCATGGAAACATATAAAAACTTTAAAGCCGCATTAAATATACTTAAATATGCACATATGTGTCAAATTTAGTGCCACTAAAATTTATTTGTATGAATAATGCATGAATCAAATACTTAAAACTTCCTGTAATTACTAATTTCAGTAGGATTCTACATAAAGCCTTTTTTTTTTTTTAAATCTATTTCTTTTTGCAGCTGAGCGTACTTTGCACTACAATGCCATTTATGCCATTTCTTTTTTTTTTTTTTTTTTTTTTCCCCCTCTAACTAATCATGCAAGAATGATGATATTGTATTAACAGGACTTTCCATATTTGCCTTGAAAAACCATACTGAAACACATGGGCTGTGATTCTAATCCCAACTCTATTAACTACAGAAACAGCCAGGCATATACTTAATTTCTTCTGAACTCCCTGCTATTACTGTAAGACATTTTGTTAAGTGTGCATGCTTTAGCATTTTGGTAGAGATTTACCGTTAAATGACATTAAACAAGATAACTCATCTCTAAGTGCTTTGTTCAAAGCAATGCACTTTCTGATCTATGAAACTTCAATTTCAAACTGATAAAAAAAAAAAAAAAAGGTTTTTAAAAAGCCACAGCATCATTTCCCCTCTCACAGTTTAGCATATGCTCATTTGCCTGATGGGTTGTTACAGTTGTTGGGTATTTATGAATTCTGCCATCCATACTATGTTGGAGTATCCCTCATTCATTAGAGAGGCTACAACGGCTATACCTATCTATTAAAACACCATCAGATTTTTCCTCTAAAGACAAATAACTTCATTCCATCCTGTATATTTTCATGCTGGTGGGCAGAGATCTCACTGTGCTTCAGAGCCGTACATGATTTAGTACTTCTCAGGAACTCCTGGACCCCTTGAGACAATGAATCACTCACACCCTTTAGACTTTCACAGTTCCTACTACTTATCGCTACTTGTTTCTGCAGATTACCTACAAACAACTGGGCATGGATTAAAAATGACTAAGCAGTCTGGGAATCACTGCAATGAAGCAGCCTCAGCCTTTTTGTCAGGTTTATGCTCCCTGTGACGGGGACAGGACTGTGGTACAGGCCTGCCTGCATGTGAGGAGAATGCTCTGGCCCTGCACAGCCCTGCAGATACTCTAGTTCATCCTGAGACTGGCATGAATGGCAGAGCTTCTCTAGCTTATTCCACCACTGGGTAATTTCTGTGGAAATGATTATGAATGAAGGAGCTACACAGGGCAGTGGTACTCTGTAACACTGTAATTTCCTACGTATCTCAACGTGGCCTTTGTGCTGAGGTGGAAGGTAGATGACCCAGGCCCAGCCTCCCAGCTTGACCAAACCAAGTCTTTTTGAATATCTCCTCATTCCATATCCAAATGCATTTTGGACTTAGCTCTAACAATGTTAGCGCATCATTATGATCACCTCTCTTCCTTCCCTGTCCCACAACATAGTAATTCATTTTGCGTTTTGATAAAAATAAATAAATCATTTTAACATTAGGAAAAACTGAAAATGATGATAATGATATAGAGTATAAATTTACAATATTATGCTTGAGTCTGAAACAAGTGGAGCATTTTAAAACTTGGATTTAACAAGACTCATAACTGAAACACTGATGTCACATTTTGGCTGTAACAACATAAATGGTCCTGACAGAGTAAGTTTTTGTTCAGTGACACGTGAACCTTGATATTATCTGACCTATTACTTATTCACAGCAAGACAAGACATCTCCCTTTCCTGATTATATATTGTAAAAGTCATGACTACACAGAAGTCACACAAATAAAAAAACAACTCTGAAGAATGGATTTTCCCCTAGCCACCACAATTCATGTCATTCATCATCTTTAAGTTCTTGCCAACAGAAACCCATGACTATTTACAATGGCAGAGAGAGAAAGACTTCCTGCTGGGCCATATATTCCCACAGTGTTGTAATCTGTCTTCAAACTGCTCAACATATTCACACACAGTTTTGTCTTTTCTATCAGTTGACAGCTACAAAAAATATTTCAGTACTTCAGTTACTAACAACCCTCTAAAGATTTGTGCCTGCTTTTCTTAAAATTTAAATGTTTCCTTTGTATGAAATTAAAACATTCCCTAAGTATGACGACAACCATCAGTGGCTGTACCAATGCACTGCCATCTTGCTATGCCTGAATTGACTGACCTGAAACGTTGCACAGCATTTTGTAATGAAAGAAACTGTAATCCTTTGACAGTCCATTTTATGAAAAGAGATCACTTAATGTAGAGAAAGACTGAGTTCAGTCAATTTGAAAGCAGCTTGTGATTTTCAATAACACACTACTAAACTCTGAATATGACTCTTAGGAAAGCTAAGTGCACGCAATTTTAACTGAAGACAACAGAACCGTATGAATTTAGAAGTAGTTCATAACACTGACTCTTGGGGTAGAGCTATTCATATGCTGTGGAACTGTAGCCTCGGAATTCAGGAGTTTTCATTTCTGCCACTCTTTTACATCATTATCAATTGTTGTCACCCACATGGATTGTCCTTACTGAGAGGCCCATTCTCATTTCAGTTTGTGAAAAGAATCACTTGGATCAGACAAAATGTATTACTTTTATAAAGCTTATAAAGCTTTATAAACCTTGGAGAGTTCTAGGGAGCATTTATCTTTAGTCTTTGTACACGCCTGGGGCACAGATCGTTGCAAGCAAATTAAAAACACCATCTACTGTCTATAGCACTATCTAGCCAGAATACAACTAATACACAGGTCATGGAATCTTCTGCTGCACCCGTATATATCAGATCCTTGCACAGAAACTGTCTTAGATCCATACGCAAGAAATCTTTTCTCGATACTTGAAAGACAACTAATCATTATGTCTAATCTCACTCTTTTTTTTGTGGGTAAGTTACAAGAAAGGGAATAAATCAGTTAGTAACAGAATTTGCAAAACTTCTGGAGTCTGATATACAGACTTTTTCTATAAAGAAAGAAAGGAGGGTACTTGTCTGCTTTTTTTTTCTTTTTTTCTTTTTTTTTTTTTTTAATCCCCCCTCTGAAAACTGTAGAAACAATAAAAGAAACTGAGTGGCTGGATTAATGTTCTGTGTGAGAATCTAGTAAGTGATATTCCATCATGATAATGTGACACTACTTTTTTTCTTTTCAGTCTGTGCTTGTTATTTATGTCTGGTCATTTGTAAGATACAAAGATTATATAGATGTCAAAATCACAACATGTAAACAACTAAATTTGAAAGTATTTGAAATGACAAACTCCAAACATTTTTTTTTTTGATAAAGAATGCTTCATACTGCTGCATATATTATCCTCAACTATTATCACCTGTCTCCTTTGAATCATCAAAATTCAAATAGTGTACAATTAAGACACTACTAAAATTATTTTAATTATCAGTAGCAGCATTGTTATGCAATGTAAGAAACCAGAAGTGTATAATGTGTTTCATGAAAGAATGAATTCTATTTCCCAGAGTTATATGGAGCCCATGTTAATTTCCAATTTATAACCTATAAATTCTCAGTTTTGTGATTGCAGTAAACTTCTCCCTTTAGTGCTGCAATTGCTTTGTGTGGTTAAGAAGGTAGTTACTGAATGTTCATAACTTTAAAAACACACTTTGAAGCTCACAGGGATGATATTAAAGGAAGATAAATTCACACTTTTCATGAACTGATGAAAGCAATTAATAAAGCATTTAATAGCATGACTATTTATACTAATTATAGAAGCTAAAAATGCATGATCAAAGATTTTGGAACATACTTTGCACCTACAAGTAAAAATTGTAATTCTGATTCAAAATACTTTGTTCTGTACACAATAAAAAATGGAGACTTCACCCCCTCCTCTAGAACAGCATTTGGATACGTAAGTTTCTGTTATCACTTTATCACCACAAAATCCATGTCAAATGGGGAAAACAGTATTTTAGTGAGAACTAATTAAAGGGTCATACATGTAGTTTGTCTTCAGAAGGGAACAGACTATGATATTATATCAGAATTAAATAGCATATAATAACATAAACCATGTACATGAAGCAGTCACTAACTGTAGGAGGTTGGGAAGAATATGAACACACACTGAGTCAACAGGAGCAGCTTTCCAGACGGCTTTTCAGACTGAGGGTGTTACCATGTAGGGGTATCAGACACTTTACAGGATGCAGTGGAAGTACATTTTGGTATTGCACAAGAATTATTATGGGATGTTTAGTGGAAGAACCAAATCTAGGGAATGTCTGGGTGCCAGTCACTAGGCAAAGACTGAGATGAGGGGCAAATACTGGGCAGGCTGAGTGTACGCCCAGCTGCTGGAGGGATGGATGCATGCTGCATACAGATTTCCCATTACCAGACCTTCATTTTGATCAACCAGAGAGTAACAGGACAAGGCTGCTGGTGCTGGTGCTGTTTGTGGAAGTGCTGAGTGTCCACCTGTGCTGACCTCCATGGCCATACACATGAATACTCACCTCTATCCGTCTCCCATCATTGACTTTTTGACAATAAGGTCCTGTACATCAAATTTGAACATTTTGATGCCACATATATAATACTGTGTCATATATGTGACACTGAAGTCAAAGTTCATAATACCACAACCAGATAATAGAATAATTACAATATCTTAAAAAGTACTAATTACTCTTGCAAGCTTTTACTGAAGAATGCTGTTCACTAAAAATATCAAGTGAATTTACTCTTGCTAGTACTTAGTGGGAAACAAGAAGCTTTAAATATGCTTATTTTCTTTACATATATAAATTTCCATTTTCCCTGCTTCACAATTCATACTGAAAATGTAGTTGCATTCTAAAGGAGAGGGGCCTCACTCTTAAATTTAATAATGGAAGTATTTACTTTGTAAATTAGCTACAAACTGCAGCATTTCTGAGAGATTTCCTTTTCTCTTTTTTTATGTGTACTTACACTTAAGGCCATTGGTCCTGGTGGTCCCACATCTCCCTGGTTAAAATAGGACAGTAAACAAATGAGCAATCTCTTCAGTTATATATTTTAAACCTTTAAGCATTTTAGAGGATATGCACCATAGCTTAAGTAAATTCAGTATAGTCATCACACATTCTCTGGTTACGAAAATATAGTAGTAAAGATATACATATATATATTTTTCAGCAATTCCATAGATACAGACAATTCTGCATAGGTTAAATGAAAAAAACAAAAACAAAACTAATCACAGAATCGTCTAGGTTGGAAGAGACCTCCAAGGTCACCTAGTCCAACCTCTGACCTAACACTGATCAGTCCTCCAATAAACCATATCACTAAGCTCTACATCTAAATGTCTTTTAAAGACCTCCAGGGATGGAGGTCTTTAAAAGACCACTTCACTGGGCAGCCCATTCCAATGCCTAACAACCCTTTCAATGAACAAGTTTTTCCTAATATCCAACCTAAATGAGACAACAAAGCCAAAAACAACACCAGATAGACGTCTGCATAAGTGATTCACAGTTTACAAAAAAGCAATCCTGCAAACAGATTTGCACGTGTTAAATTACAAGCCTCCACTTGTATGCATAATATGGCCACTGAAGTCAGTGTGACTGCTCCTATACGTAAAGACATCTGACTGTAAAATGTTCACAGAATTAGCTTTTTGAGGTCTGAATCTCACTGCAAGACCTTCAGGTGCAATCAATGGGAGCAAATCAGAGCACCAAGAGAGCAATTCAGGATATGTAATTTATGTTCCTGCTCTGAATTGCTTTCAAAAGAAGATTCGCCTCCTTCTATAGTGGTAAAGAGTGCTTGCCTTCCTTATTTACAGTTAGTCTGTACTTACATTCTTCAATCCTTACGCTAGACAAACAGCAGCAGTGTGTGTTTATCACACGTAGTGAAGGCAGTGTATTAACTATTGAAGAAATATCATGCACATTCACATATACATACAACTTTACAAGTTTTTTTTTGTTTGTTTTTTTTTGTTTGTTTGTTTGTTTGTTTTTAAAAGTACCTTTTCTCCTTTGGGACCAGCCAAACCAGGACTACCAGGGTCACCTTTGAGTCCCTGGACAAAAAAGAAGAATGCATATTTGTTATCATCCTTGGAAACTGTTGGACAAAATCCTCTATTGCTGTAAATTGGTATATACTAACCAAATAAACCTTAAAATATTAGGATATAACAAAAATAAAAAATAAAAAATTATTTATTTTCATTATTTTGTTAACAGAGACACATCTACCAAAGACCACGTGTTCTCAACAGAGAATTAAACATACAAAGCTAAACTCTTCTACCTTGATTGTGCCCCTTTATGGCAAGTAACATGTAGGAATGCAAAGTTCTTTTGAGGTCTCAGTAGGTGCATATCTTGTGCATTTAACAAAGATAAATAAAATGCCAGTCCCGCAGCACATTCTCTTAAACTCTGCTAAAATTGGGAATGGTAGAGGTGGACAGAGCATTGTGGTTTCTGTGTTTCAGTTAGCAATGTTGAGCTGGTGAACTGCAGCAGGGTTCACCTCAGAGCAACTCCCATATCCTCAAACACTCTAATTTTCACCAGTGTTTGAGAAGGGAATTACAGAAATCATCAAATCCTTTGTACCTCTCCCCAGTTCTGCCTTCAGCTGGAGAATCCAAAAACATTACCTGCTCTTATCCATTGCAAATGCAGTAATTTCACAACATGGTTATTCCACTAACATGCTGCCAGAAACAACCCAGAAAGAAAAACTCTTATCCCTCCTAATCTCTGCTGTCTTCTCCTTGCTGCAAAACACATGGAAAAAGCAAGAGGTTTTGAAATATACCAGCAAATTCAAGCCACTCTGCCATATGGAATAACCTTGCTTCTGATGTTGGAACAACCTAACAGGAACTACTTTTTGTTTAAGCCAAGAGCTCTGTCTTGTGCCTTCCCTCTGATCAATGTTTTAGAGACATGCCACAGGAGAACACTGATGATGCGAGTCAGAGAAAGCTCTATGAGTTCAAAGATTTTATTTAGAAACCAAATGGCAATAACGTGGGCAATACAGGACCGAATCACAATTAAATAGTTCAGAAGTAGGCCAACATCATTATTATTGTGGAGGTTAAACGGGTCAAGGATAGAAATGATTCATCTACATCTGAATAAGGGTTTACTAACTTAAGTTCTTCCCAGCCCCCTTTTTGCCCTTACAAACTCTGTTCCTTGCTTTGCAGTAATTGGAAAGATAGAGACAACTGGCATGAAAATGATAAGCAACATCTGTGCCTTGGTGGGTACAGAAACATTAAATCAGTGAGTGTTCTAAATACTGCATATTTGTGCAACTCCACTTCCTGCTAAAATTACATTAATTCACCATCTGGAAGGAACATCATTTAGAACTATATGAGCATTTAAGTACCCACTTTGGATTAAATTTGTGGTTGTTGTAAATACCCCTGATTTAGCTTTGATTTGTCCTTTATTAAGCTTGCCAAGTATGTAATAGTTAAATCAGAAGTAGTTTTGCTGTTTGAACTTAAAAATGTAATAGGCAGATGGATTCAAAAACCAAGCCAAAAAAAATCTTTCTTTTTATGATTTGCATATTTATGACATAGTTTTGATATTATCTCCATTTACTACATTTTACTTTTCACCTGCCTATGAAAGACTGCATAATACACTCCCTGTTCTGAAAGCCACTTCAGGGATTTTTCAGGTATGCAAACTGTAGGGATCCGTTTCAAAGTTAGTATTAGTGAATCAGCAGTGCAACAATAGGCTTGAGCTTAAGGAATAGTTCTAAGGTGGTGTATTTACAGAGGAGAAAAAAACAGAGGAAGATAAAAAGAAATCTGTAACTCAGAGGAGGAGATATATGTGTGTGTGGCTTTATTGAAAAGACAACTGCAAACAAAAGATACTGAACTGAAGCCATGCACTGTCAAACTATGAACATCATTTTTTTCCTAATTGATGTGTTTACAGCTTTTAGTAGTGTTCCTGCAGTGGACCTCAGTAAGGTATGCAGTTTGACAGCTGATGATGCAGAGATGATGACCACAGAAGTCAACCTCACATAAGGGGAACAAGGGGACAAGGGGAACCTATATATTTGACAACAAGATTTACAGTGTTTGAAGTGTGATTTTTGAGTGCCTGGGAAGGTTTCTGCATAACATTTCTATTTTACAATACTGAATTAGCTTTCCTTTGCAGTTTATACCCACAGAAAAGAAATATCAAGAAAAAAAATCCCCCAAAGTTATCCCAGTAGAAGTATTTCCCATTATTCATCACCTTATATTTCTTTTAAAGATATTATTATCTTAATAAGTTCCAGACATTACGAATGCTTGGAAAAACAGATCTGGTACTATATCATGCCTATTCTTCATTTCAACCACCCTTTTTAAAGCAGCTCCAAGGGTTAGCTGCTGCTGACTGTCTCTGAGATGACATAAGAAATAAGAATTCCTGTGCTGTGTAAAATCCGTAGCTGCTTCGATACAGTACAGTACAGTATCCTGTCTCTGGCAGAGACCAGAACAGGATGCTTCAGCAAAGTGGATATGGTTATCTAAACAGATATCATTTAGAAGATTTTAGATTAGGCTTTAAATTAGAAAAGCTCATTTTCTACAACATTGTAGGAGGAAGAGGCCAGTTTTGTAAGTTTTTTCTATTGACCTAAGGAGTCCGTAGTCAGATTTGTCAGAAATTCAAGAACTGAGTAAAAATTTCAACAGCTTGCATGACAAAAGGTAAATGAATTGCTGAATTTTATCCTGGTCTAATTCTGGCTTCTTCATAACAATACAATAATAAACATTTGTGAGTTCATGAACTTATAAAAACTCTTCATGAACAGTTTGCATCTGTTACCTTTCCTCTGCTGTAAAGACTACAGCTTAGTTTTTCTACAGGTCAAAATAAACTTACATCAGGGTTTCTCTCTGGATGCCAAAATGCACAGTAAGCATTGGGATATGCTGACTTAATAGTAACAAGATAGCAACATGAAAAATTGCAAAAATGAGAAACATTATCTATAACAAGACAGGGGTATGAGTGTAACTGAATTGCTGACCAAGAGAGAAATTACTGGAACAAGTATTTCACAAATACCAGTAAAAGTGTGAAGTCAGCAAAATTTGGGCCAGCAGGGGAAAGAGTAAACTAGGGACAGACTCTTTGTTTAGAAGGGGATGATGGTGATATTTCTTCTGGTGGAAGAAATTTAAGGGAGAAGTTTTCATACTGGTTGACACTACTTTTGACAAACCTTTAACTAGGTTTTTCACTGATAATAGTTTACAGGAGTCTTAAACAGCCTACAAACTCAACTGGATTAAGAAGAAAACAATTACAAAACAACAACTGTGCCTCAAAACTGTGAAAAGGATCATGGTTTTTTGAATTCTTCAAATGACGGAATTTTATTAATGGTAGCCCAGCACTGCTGGCATAAGAAGCCAACAGTTTTTCTGTTTGAATTTTCCTTTTAGACCAGTGACAATCTCACACAATGCATGCTGTGCTCTGGAGTTCCATGGAGAAGAGAAAATAACTTTACTTAGTGATCTGATAAATATTTTCCTTACCAAGTCTGAGAACATTTTATTTGTTCGCTAGAAGTGTCAGGTGTAACCGGAGCCAGAAAACTAAACAGTTTTTCAGTTCCTATGGTTTCAGTCATTTGGATAAGATCAGAACAGTCAAAGAATTTGAGAGAAAAGGGAACTGAACATTTTCCTCTAAGCCAAGTGGTCTCGACTGCAATTCTTTTGTGACAACATGATGTTCCACAAAGCAGTACTCCTACCATTACTAGTAAAAAGGACAGATGATGAAGAGAACAGAGGATTTCATAGTTTGCTGCTTGTGTTTGGGATTCATATCCCATATGCCTGCAGTACCTGAAAAACTACATGACGAAGGAATTGCAGCCCATAGGAGTGTTGTCTAACCTCATCAAAAAACAGTAACAACATGAAATATGTATGTACCTTTTGTGAGCACTCCTATATAACCTATGGAGGTTATATTTAAAGGAAAACGTAGCCATGGGTACTTGCACAGGTTGAGGGAAGCATCCTGTAATTTAAAGGAGTCTGCTTCTGTAAATTGGATTTTGTGCAGACTTGTGTCTCTTGCTTTTAACCTTGACACTGTGATGTTCAGCTGGGTTTGAAAGCCACACCAGGGATTTATAAGGGTTTAATGAGCAGGCACCTCTCTAGCTGAGACCAAATAGCTGGCAATCGCTGTGCTAAAAACACCACAGCCCAAATGGAGGGATCGGAATGACAGGCCAGGGCAGTCTGAGGAGGACTTTCAACAATAGACTGACAATAAGCTACTTTGGAGCAAACCCAGAAGCCTAAAGAAAGCTAGGGTAAGTAAAGAAAGCTTACTGGGAAACTGCTGCAGAGCTGCCAGATTTTTTAAGGCTTATGCTGCTGGCAACAGGCAACTAGACTGAAGTGTTTCCACAAGGACTGGAGAACCACAGGGACCAAGGGTGTCAAAGGAGCCAGGATTCCGTTTAACAGCTCATTGAAGCCTGATTAACTACTAGTATGAAAAGACAGCTATCGGCCACAACACAAACCTCACCAGTACTCTTAGATGACACAAGCCTACATAATTTTCTCATCTGCCATTAGTTACTTATCCAGAGCTGGGAAATATTTGAGAAGTCCATTAACCTCCCACCCTGAGACAAATGTTTACCATAATAACAGACACAAATTTGATCGGGACTCTGAAAAAAATAACTGAATTTTTAACTTTGTTAATAACTTTTTATCAATAATAAAACTCTATTTTCTTCAGAAATTTTAGGAAAATTGTCAATATTATGCTAAATGTCTTCTCCAAGTAAAACATACTTTTTATTCCCTAATGCTTGATGAATTCTGACTGAACCTAGCAGGTTCACTAAAGCCTGAGAAAACTGTATCATACATTGAAAATTTTCACTCAGAGAAGCATCCAGTGCTTATACATCACCACAGAAAGGAGATGAAACAGGTAAAATGTACTGGCAGCTGACAACAGACACCCTTCACAAAGAAAAAGTGCTATGATCAGCTGGATCCCAACTGAGCAGCAGCCATGTCTTGCCTGCTAGAGATGCACTTCTTTGTGCAACAAATATTACACAGCGTACATGAGGCAATGAAAAATGCTGCAAGATTGGCATCATGTTCTGAGGAGAATAGGTTTTCCAGTCTAAAAGAGAACTGTTTGGAAAGGTATTATTCATTATTTACAAATGTTTTTATTGCTGGATGCAGAAAACTTCCTTGCACAGGTCCCTGGCCTGCATTAAGTGGTTCAACCTCACACCAGGCTAAAATGTCCCAGCATGACATACATGACATACATAAAGCACTGGAAATACAGTAAACAATCCAACCACTAACAGTGTGGAACCAAATTGTTATGGATCAAATTAAAAATTCCTATGGAATAATAAAACTTAGAAATATTCTCATTATTAAGACAACAAAAACATGTTTTCTCCACAAAATGGTCTTAAAATCTTAATTAAGGCAACAGCTTCAGAGTCAGCTGTACAACACAAAGCTGAATATGTTGCAATCACTTTTCTAATTTAGTGTAGTATTTTCAAAGCTCCAAGTAATATCCTATTTTTCAGTTTATACATCATGTACTTTCAAATATTGCCATTGATCTTTTCTTGTTAATGTCATTCAAAAAAACTCAAATTGCATTCAAAAAAACTCAAATTTTCTGAATCCCAAACAATGCCTACTGTCTCCTTATACCTTTGCTCCTAATGGAATTCTTAGACTCTAGATTTAATTAAATAACATTACCAGTTTCACACTTGAAACAATAGGATTCTTCACTTACCATCCAAGTATTTCCTTTCAGTGTTAATACTAATACAGTTCAAGATTACAATTACAGAAAAGCTATGAGGGTGTGATGGTAAATGACTGTTACCATTACATCAAGCCACTGGGTCCTTTTGAAAATGTTCTTATTTCCGATCTGATTTTCACAAAAAACAACAACAACAAAAACACAAAAAAACACATATAAATATAAAAACCCAGTACATGTACATTTTAGCTTCTTTCCACTGAAAACCTGTGATTTTCTCATTGCTCACTGAACTTCACAGGTCTGTCCTTTCACATTAGTATGTGAAGAACATAAAATATCATATATTTTATGTAGAAGAGTTTTTAAACAGTCACTTAAGAGTACCAACATTCCTGATAGGAGAAGAAAAATAATTAGTTAATCCACTGGTTTAAGGGTGTATGGATTATGCAGCAGACTTTCATTTTAGATTTTCTTTTTTTTTTCTTTTTTTTAAAGTTTACAAGAAAGACTTCTCTTCCCCTAGCTATGCATGACACATGCTAAGAGATATGACAAAACTTCATTGGCTTCCTTACTTTTGCTAAAGGATTTCATTTTTGTTTGCAAAACATGAAATAGTAGTATCCCATGGTATTCACCTTCTATCTGTACCACTCATCAAGAATATGACATGACTCCAAAAGGAGTCTAGACGTTTGAATGGGAAAGACTTTCTTTCAATTCACACTCAAAAGTGTGAACGTTGCATAGATTTACTCTATGGATAGTATCATGGATATTTGTATTGCAAATTTGTCCTTATTCCATATGGAATGTAAGGATGACAAAGTAGTAACTGCATTTATTAGGATTTCTTTCAGACAGTGCATCCATGAACATCCACTTGTTACTGTGATAACATTGCAAGTGATGGCATTATTAATGTCAAGAGGCTATAAAAGTCTCAAGGGATAAAACTTAAGAGACGCTACTCAAGAAAATTGGCTGTTCATATTATACAGGCAAATAGCTGCTTACAGATGTAATGTGAATACATACTCCAGGAAGACTACATTAGTAATACGTAAGTTATTTATAGCTGCTCCTTAAGAAGCTAAAAACAATGGCAACCGCATTACTAGTATTTATAGTCAGTATTTGTGTTGTCAGACGGATTTTGAATAATGTCCCAGGCTGGGAAACAGCACTGTAGATCTTGGCTCAGATTTGTGGAGTGATAATCTAGGAGATGTGCAGAGCAGTTAAACATATTCACAGTTCCTGCATCCAAACCTGGTTCTGAATGAGATTAGCTGACCCAGTTAGCACAATCTGTGAGGGACTTCAACATTACATAAAACTAGTCTACAAATCAGGTTTAGTTTTCCTTCTCTCATTTACTTCATTCTAGCAAGAATGTTCTGTACAGCTAAGAAAACAAAAGCAGTAACAGCAAAAAGAAAAATAAATGGAATTTGTTTCTGTGACACCTTGTTTCCTGATTTTGGTTAAAATAAATTTGCATATGTTTCTACCATTTGTGCAAGACAAAATGTTCAGTCATCATTCTCAAGTTCTTCATTTGCGAGTACAGAAACCCTCACTCCCCAGCCAGAGAGACAACAGCTGCCAACAGCCGATACCACCAGCTTTGAGAGTTTTCAGGCTTTCTTTATACAGCACTGCAGATTATACCCATATAAACAGATTAACTTGATTATTTCGGAAATATCAGATGTTACATTTCTGTATGTGGAATGAGTTTGAGAGACACTGATAGCAACCAAGAGTCAATGATACACAGTCCTTTAAATTTAAACTTAATGACTGGCATCTCCATACACTATGATAACTGAATCCAAAGCATTTTATTTGTGTTGTTAAAAAGGAATTATGTGTGGATTCAAACAAAATAGTGTTATATTGCCTTGTGCAATTCTACTTCAAAAATATTTTAAAGACAGTTCCCATGATGATAATCCACCACTTTTTTTGACACACTACAACAGTTCACTAAACTTTCCGAATTATAAAGGTTTGATACTTTACACGTTCAATGCCACAATGTCAAATATGTTCTAGAGTTCACCAGATACTTGGTATACCTTACTCATCCTAAAAGATTTATGGAACAAGATCCCATGTAGTAAAGGAGATCGTGTAAGACCAACACAGAAATGTCCCCAGAGCTATGGAAAGAAACACAGATGTGTTTTTCCATGCTGTCAGCATATATGTATGCATGACAGAAGTATACGGTTCACCTTTACAGACAGGCAGGCTACAAGAGAATACCTCTTTGAATACCTAAACACAGTTTCAGCTCAGTACATAGTACATGTTTTCACATGAAGGATATCCACTATTCACTGAAAATAGTCAGATTCATCTAGCGTTAAACTAAGGAAAACATATTTTTATGGCTAGTGTGGAAAAAGCCAGGTGACAAAAAGTGTGATGATCTAATAGGCTGTTTTAAAAACTTTAAACTGTATATATAGCTCAGTGCAAATAACCACATCCATTGCCTGTGTTCTTAGTAAGCACAGCTAGGCTGTCATAGTATTTTGGTGTGGAAAGTTGAACCTTTCACTGTTTTGGTAATGTTGCTGAAAAGCATTTTTTTTTTTTTTCCTCCCAAATCCCGTATTTCATTGTTGGGTAGAATTCCATCATAATGCCAGACATTCCCCAAAGAATTTAGACAGACAAGTTCAATCCTTCTGTGAGATGCTCTCTGTGTTCTGTTGTGATGTTTTTGCAATTGGGAAGCCAACAGTACCCTTCATTATCAAAACTTAAACCCAGGCTGACCTCCAGTTAAGGTCAAGGAGGAGACAGGAGGGGAAGAGGGGGATAAAGAAAACTGATAGCTTGATTTTTATTTTTAAATCTTGCTGTTCAGAACATGCTGGTTTGCTATTTCAGTACTACATTGACAAACCTCTGATTTTCTGTCCTCTTATTTTAATATATTTGTAAGTAAATACAAAAATAAAGCAGGCAGAAGTAACAGTTATCACTGGGCACGTCTATAGTGTTAGCTCAAGTTCAAGCTTGGATGTGAACTCAATGACCAGGAGTATCTTTATTTATTTATTTATTTTATTTTTTAACTTAGATTCACACCACAGCTCAAATATGAACCAGATCAATTAACTAGATAGTGGGTGAAATCTATCAGAGAATATAAGTGAAATTTTAACTCAAATTCTCTATTGCATGAGCCACATGGCACAGTGAATGACCCATTGCTCTCACCCAGGAATGGTTAACAGTCTTTGCACTTGTTTTTCTTTTTCAGCAATCAAGGCCCCAGGCCTAGCTTTACCTTGCCTCCAGAAATGTCCTCTTTTCTCATCAATGCTATGTTGCTTTAATATCCACACCTGTTTCAGCTTATCTCATGAACTCTAAGCAGATTTATCGTGGAACCTTCCATATCCTTACCTACACCTTTCCCATACAATGTTAAGGCCTAAGACCTCGTATCTCAACTGAATGCACCTCTTTTTCTTGTGCATCATCTTGCGAATGTTAACTCTCCAGGCATATACATTTTCTAAATCCGTCACTCTCCTTACACAAAGTCTGAAATTCATTGTTTGCCTATCCCCCTAAAAGTTTTCAACTTGATTCTTTTAGTATCATTCAGTTTACCTCTCTTCCATGAATGCCTTCTGCTCCTGGTTCTCCTTTATCTCCTTTTTCACCCTAAAAGAATGAATATTTATTTAATTACATTTTCAAGATAAATACTAAACCATGACACTTTTTTGACAGGAAAAATATTTGAAGATTCTGGTCCGTCCTACATGCAGTGCTACAAATGCATTGCTGACTGCACAAGCTAAATTATTTCTTACATTCCAAAAGAAATTCTTTCCAAATAAATGACCCTGAAAAAAGGTCTAGCACCAAGAGCTAAAGAATTTTATAACTCACAGTGCTACTGAACATCCATAAAGACTCACCACAGAAAAATATTCTTAATTCTCACAGTGCTCTGAGAACAATATGGTCAAACAGAAATTTACAGTGAGGGACAGTTAATGGTTTTCATTTTGGTACCACTTTTTAATGAACACTGTTCTGAAAATTATTTCTTACAAGGATGAATATAAGTGACATATCTAATCTATGAATCAAAAGACAAAAAAAAAAAAGGCAGGAAGGATTCTTAGAATCAACGACACAGGCTGGTTCCTGGGCTTCCTTATGAAACACTGACAATAAAACACAACATTCTTTGTAAGATACAAAAAAGGATTCAGTTCCATACTATCTCTATGTACCATACGATCCTAGTTAATATAGATTTCATCAGAAGTTATCAAAATCTGCTTAAAAAGACAATTTAAGGGAGAATGCCAAAACCAACAGGTCTCATCTGTGTCACTAGGCTGAACTTTACCAAATTACAAAAAAAAAAAAACAAACAAACATCATTTTGATAAAAGCCTGAAGACTGACTTTAGTAAAGTCCAAGCTCTTCATTATTAACCAAAGAAAGGGAACAGCCCCACACTGAATTTCAATTATCTCCAGTGGACTACATATGTTTGAGGAGAACCTATTCATTATGTCAGCATAATCTTCATAATTCTGTTAGGTAAATGGTACTGAACTGAGATCATTCAGCTAATTCCATTTGTGACACAACCCTGATTCAAAGCTATTTCTCCAGTGGCAATGACAGAGGGCATTTCATCTAATAATCAGTTTTGCAAAATGAGTTTGCATGAGCTTTCTCAAACAACTGAAGCCTACTAACAAATTAGCAATGACAAACTGTGAATTTAATAATCCCATGCAAAAGATGTCTGCAGTAGTTCTTTGTTCTCATTTCAATACATCTTGTTGATAACAAACCTAATGCTGTGCATTAGTTTGAATGGTCCTGCTAAGGTTTTTCCTCAAGTATTGCCTATTTTGGCTGTCAATAACACCAAACTTGATCTATCAACGCAACCATTGGAAAAAGTTTAAAGGACACCAAATTGTTACAGGATTTTAACACTGGTTATCTTAGTATGTTTAATCTATCAAGTTCTCTTTGTTCTCTTATTCTATGGATTAAGGTGTTGGTTGATATAGTAATTGTCTTACACTATCAGTTTAAAACATAACAGTTGAAGTTCCTGATTTATTCATTTTTATTTTTTATTTTTTAATATATAGCTGAATTTTAAACATTTTAGTTTTCGTCACTGTGACACACTGGACATTCAACACTGTTTTCACTATCTTTCAGCTGGTATTAAGTCACATTGCTACAGCCTTGCAGTATCTACAAAGGTACAGTCATTTATTTACCATAATAACTCCTTATTTTAATGTATTTCTAGGAGTTTTAAGAAACATTCCAATTTATCAAGCTGTCTTCTATGGTTTATCTGTTTATGTACTTTAAGAGAAAATTGCATAAATATCTACAGTTCTGATTCAGAAGCAGCAGTAACTTGTAATTTCCTTAATGTATACATGGAAACCTTAGATAATTATCTTGTGATAATTTGTCATCCTACACATACATTTACATTAAAAAAATGCATTTGTTAAGCCTAAAACACAAGAAGACCCTCCCCTCACCTTTGCAATATGCCTTGATGTTAGATTAGCAGCACATGTGTTAGAGATCCTGCCTTCTTCTTCTTCAGCAGCCAGACAGTAACTTTAAAGCATTGGCAAATGGTTCTACATACATACAAGTGTAGCTGGTGAATGCAAGGAATAAAGAAAAACTCCCTTCCTTATGATTTACAAGATGCTCAGATTTAAAATGTTTGTCAGACAAAATGATAAAAAGCACCCTCTGCTAATGAGTCCCAGACCTCTGCAGAATCCCAAGAGCCCCAGGCTTTCTGCCATGTATGCCATTTTACTATGAACCTATTCTGATTTTTTTAATAGACTAAATTATTTGTACTTGCCAAGCCTATTGTGCACAACGTTCGTGTCCTCTGTGAAGCAAGAATTCAAATCAAACAGAGGTCCAATTCTTACAATTTATTTTTCTGTGAACTGAGCCAAGCCATGCTCATTTCTGCCTTTGTGGAGTGCACTATGCTGCATAATTAACAGCTTCAAACATAGCCAATTTGCAGAACTGCTGAAGCCACTCTGCAGTGTAGATGAGGCTCTTAATAATCAACATTGTGTGTTACCTCATAGATTAACAAAAGAGAAAACAGAGAAAAAAAAAAACACATGTTAATGCCATTTTCTGTCTCATGTTCCTGCCTGCTGATACTATACTCAGATGAGACGATTAAAGACTATTTGGGAAGTAACTGGATGACAAAACTCTGGAAGTGCCATTACTTGTTTATTAGTTAACTAAAACTAATCCAATATAACATCGAATTCTTTGCATTCCTTTGGGTGTATTCTGCTTTTAATTGCCCCAGTGGAACAAGCTGATGGGGCTGCTGCAGTAGGTGCTAGGAGGGATTCAGTCTTGTATATGTAATACTGGATACACTGCAGTCAGTGGCAACATTCTCTAATTAGAGCTGGAGGCTTGCTCAGGGTTTCTGCAAGGCTTCAGTCACTTGGCAACTTTAAGGCTACCTAATTTTCCTTGCATACTATTTACTCCTTATTATAAAGACAAAATAATGTATAAAAATATAATGTATAAAAATAATGTATAAAATAATTTGTTAATAAAATACATTTATATCTAAAAAATTACCTAAAAAGGTAAAGTTTATTTTGTGGTGCTGCTCTGTTAATAATACTAATTCTGAACCCCTGATATCCTTTGTACCAAGCACTTTTAAAGTTCACAACAGCAAAGATATTCTCCACACTATGCAAGATATATACCTTGTAATTCTCAGCCTCTGAAACCCTGTGATTTTACCCTACACAATCTTTAAGATAATTGTATTTGTTTTAAAAAAAATGTTCTGGGTTTTGCTACAGATCTGTCTCAGAAGAATGCTCTATTTGAATTTTGTGTGCTTGCAACCATTTCTCCACAGTTCCCTATAAACTGGATCTAGCTAATAGTAATGCTTCTTGATTTTTCCTAAATAAATTATGAATTTAACAAATCAGGATCTTCAACTCAAAAAAGAAATGCCATATGGGTCTTTCTCTTTTTGCTGATATAATTCTGGAAAGCTGGGGCTATGAAGGGCTCCATCCCATAACGTTCTTATTGTCTGACACATAAGCTTTCTACAAAAGGTGGGATAACATATGACAGGAAAAGAGTGGTACTTGAGGAGAAGCACCTCCGGTCTGCTGAAACGCAATACCATTTAGGAGTAGTAATGAAGGCAGAGTAATGATCCTGTCTTCATTCAGACTGGGAGGAACCGTGCAAGGAAATAGAAAAGTCACATAAGTGGCTTATTTCCAAACAGGCTCTAACCTACATAAGATTGCTACCTAAGCAGGGTCAGAAAGAGACACTGCAGAAATACACTTTCTTATAAACTAAAATCAACAATGATGACCTGGAATGATGTCACTGTGAACCCCTTATCTTCCCAAACCCACTTATTTAGGACACTCAGACTCAGCATGAAAGCAGGTGATCACAACACTTCATAGGCATCAGCAATTCAGAGAGTGGAGCAGCTACACTTATCAAGAAACCATGACCAAAACATTTCTGATTCAAAACTGTGCCATCACTGTCTAGTGAGAGAGCCATAAACAACAGGTGCTGTGCCTGGCCAAACTGGATAACGTGTCAGGAGAAAGATCTTTCCTTCCTGCTTCACTTACATAGACTGAGCAATACTGAAGTAGTACATAGGGGCTGTCTACTACTTGGTGTCATGCAGTACATTTCTGAGCAAGCTCCCAGAGAAGCTATATAAAGGCAAACTACCACCTCAGTTGAGTCCAAAATCTTAGGCACAGAATGACTTGAAGCCAAGCCAATCCATGGATCCAAAACTGCACTGATGAATCGTCTCTCCCTGTCAACAGGAATGAGGCAGTCATCTATTTTTATTCATTGTAGAAAAAACTCAAAATAAAAAATGATCTCAATCAATAAGAACAGCCATTAAAAAATTAAAAAAAAATAAGTTCAACAAATATTACAATGTAGTGCTCTTGGGTTGGAGAAATCAAATGCACAAATAAGAAATAATTTGTGCATCACTGGTGCAGAAGAGGATATGAGGATTATCACAGATCATACAGTGAGTGTGAGTCTGTAACACAAAGCTATTTTCAAAAGGCCAAGCTTCATTTTAGGATGAGCCAAATGTAAATTGAAAAAAAAAAAAAACACACGTAATTATTCTTGTTTACTTGTCACTACTTGTCACTGATCAGAATAACGAAGGATGGTGTCTATAGTTCTGGGCACTGTGCTGTTCATGGAACACGGCCAACTTTCAGGTACCCACTCTTCTCTAATTCAGAATGGTAGAAAGTTTGGAAAAAAAAGCTATGAGGGAAGAGTGAACACAGGACGTGCTGATGGCCTATAGAATTATGACATCCTTGAGAACTAAACCTTCAGAAAACACCAAATCTTTTTAATTAAAACATCTAGAAAATGCTACAGGATGCCTAACAGTGACACCTTAATGAAAACACAGCTGAATAATCTTTTGATCTGTTAACATGTTCCTCAGAGACCTCTGAATCTCACCTCAGCCCTTATCTTCAACATAACACTAGCTGGTGGAAATCTAAAAGACTTCCTAAAGTTCCTTGGTGAGGACCAAAGCTATTAGTTG